GTTTCTCCCCCCCCACCCCTTCCCTCTTTCCCCGCTCCCTCTAAAAAAAAAGGTCAATGGGAAAAATATCCTTGGGTGAAGATTAACAAAATACAAAATAAATAAAATAAAATAATAAAAAAAAAAAAAATAAAATAAAATAATAAAATAAATAAAACAAAATATTAAATTTGTAAAAAAAACCCAAAAACAGATGCTCGATGTGGCATTATTCCTAATATTGAAAACTGAAAATCTCCATCCCCCACGAAAGCTAACTTGTTTAATACTTTTACCAACGACTGCCCAACAATATGATGATGAAAGCTATGTTGCAGTAAAAAGAAAGGTTTATGGCAGTGAAAAAATGCAGACTATATATTATAATCATATAAAATATATGCTGAAATGGAAAAGATCAAAGAGAAATAAGCGAAATAATAAACTTCTATGTCAAGGAGCTGGGGCAGGGAAGAATATTCCTTTAAAAAGTTCTTTACGGTTTTCTTTTTAATTAAGAAAATGAGTCTTTTTCTCCCTCGCTGTTTTCTAAAACCCCTGTTAACTTAATAACAAAAAGAAATGAGCGAATTACAGGAACCTGGAGCTTCGAATCAGAGCCCCTCTGTACCTTTAACGTGACAGATTCTGCCCCGGCCCAGAGTGACTCATACAGGCGCCCGGCGGGTTCGGGAACCTCGTTAACTCGCCTCCGCCCGGCCGGCACCGGCCCATCTATCAGCTGAGCGCACTGGCAGGGACCCGGGGAGCGGGCGGGACTCAGAGCCCATCCGTACCCTGGACAGAAACGGGACTGAGTGGCGCCGGAAACTGACGGCATCGCTGGGAACCGCGGCCGGCATCGAGAGCTGCAAAAATATCCATCTTGCTTGTGTAACCAGCAGTTACGGCGCCCGGGGACAGCGTGCCAGTTCGAGTGGGCTGCTATTTCTCTTATTTTTATTTATTGATTTTAGAGAGAGGAAGGGAGACAGAGGTGGAGAGAGAGAGAGACAGAGATACAGAGAGACACAGAGAGACACAGAGAGAGACAGAGTCGTCGATTTGTTGCTCCACGTATTGATGATTCATTGGCTGATTCTGGCATGTGCCCTGACCAGGGATAGAACCCGCAACCTTGGCATATTGAACGACACTCTAACCAACTGAGCTACCCGGCCAGGGCACCGGGCTGCTATTTCTACCTGGATGCTACTCTGGGGACCCTTGATTGTGGTCCTAGGAAGTATAAGAAAAATATACACAGTGGAGAAGTTTTAAAACACACAGGTTTTAAAACACATGAGACAGTCCTGGCCGGTGTGGCTCAGTGGTTAGAGCGTCTGCCCTTGAACCGAAGGGTCATGGGTTCAATTCCCGGTCAAGGGCATGTACCTGGGTTGCAGGTTCGGTCCTGGCCAGGTCAGGGCTCGTGGGGGCGGCAACCAGTCCATGCGTCTCTCTCACATCCATGGTTCTCTCTCTGCCCCCCCAACACTCTCTCTCTGAAAAGCAATGGAAAAAATATCCTCAGGTGAGGGTTATAAAAATAAAATAAAAAATAAAACACATGAAATATCTACTTAGCTGGTCTTTCTAAACTGGCTGGAGTAGGAAGGGGGTAGGGGCATCTTCTAGCAGAGAAAACCAGCATTAAAACCATCCATCGGAATCACCCGTGAAAGCTCCTGCCGTGCCCAAAGCTGCGGAGAGGCCGCCCCCTGTGGGCTCTGAAGCCCGACGTCGGCCACCAGGAAAAACCACGACACAAGGCGGGCGAGACGCGCGAGTCACTACCTGAAAGCACCGCACGCGCGGCACAGGCAGGGTCAAGGAGCTACCACTCTTGAGAGAAAAATTAAAAAAATGACTCGAGCGCCACAGGGGCTGTGGGGGTTTTTTTCTGAGTAATTCTCCAAACCGTCTTCCAATAGGCGGAGGCCAACCGAAAACTGGGACCTATCAAAGGAGCCGAGTCCAAGGCCGGATAAACACAAAGCAAACTGCGCCTCCGCACGGCCCGGACCAGATGCTGAAAACCGGAGCCCGAGAGAGGATCAGCCCGAGGGGAAAAGACATCAGCTCTCCAAGGGGCAGCCACGGGACCGGCAGGGGCCCCAGCGGAAGCAGGGGGCTCGTGTTCACGTTCAAATACGACGACCGTTCGGCCCTGGCCACGCCGCTCGGCTGGTCGGAGCATCAGTCCCATACGCCGAGGCTGCAGGTTCGATCCCCGGTCAGGGCACATGCAAGAATCAACCAGTGAATTTATAAATAAGGGGAACAATAAATTGATGTCTCTCATAAAAAAATAAAAAATAAAAAATAAAAAATAAATGACTGTTTTTTCAGAAACCAAAAAAAATAAATAAAAAAATCCTGCTTCCCCACAAGCACGTCTCTAACCTGCTCCGTAAAAGCTCTCCACAGCCCCGAAACGCTGCACTCAGTGAGTCCCACGGCCAGGGTACGAGACACGAAGCTAAGGATTCTCACTGAGGCAGAGGCACCCGCTGCGGGCACTCAGGCCGGTAACCTGGGTGTTAGGCGTCGATCGCGAGCGTTGCCCGGTTATTTCCGAGACAGAAGCACCCCCCCGGGGAGGGGCCGTGGGAAGGCCAGGGACCTGTAAGCATTTAAGGCGAGACGTGCCCTCGCTTGGGCAGGAAAAGGTAAAACAGGCAAACGCCAAGGAGGACGCCTGGGGGCTCTCCCTGGCTCAGGCTCTAACCCCCTCAGGGCCTCGACGTTCTGAGGGATGCAACGGGACCGGCGGGCTTGGGCGAGGAGACGTGCAGCGAGGCACTCGGAGGCACAGAGGATGAATGCTCTCATTTTCCGCCCTGTGCCGACGCAACTGGGAGCAGGCAGGGGAAGATTGACCGCTTTAATTTCCCCCGCACGCGGCGCTGACACGAACACACATCACGGAGGGAGTCACGACTCCGCCCTTGAAAGACCTACTGGGATATTCCACAGTGGATGCGACACACGCGCACCGTCCAGGCTCAAGGACCAGCTGCCCGCTTTGGCGGCCTGGCTGTTTGCAACAAGGAAGCCACCCCTGGCTTTTAAAACACTTGCATGGAGTTGTTTGAGGAGCAATTTAAAGCTATAATTACAGAGCTCTTCACAGCTAGAGAAGGCCCGGGCTGTTACAATTCACCCATGGACAGGATTCATCAAAGGACTGAAGCCCTGGCCGGTTTGGCTCAGTGGTTAGAGCATCGGCCGGCGGGCTGAAGGTCCCGGGTTCGATTCCAGACAAGGGCATGCACCTTGGTTGCAGGCCGGATCCCCAGCTCCGGTTGGCAAGATGCCTTCAAAATTCCAAATGAAAGTGACTTTCATTACGCCAGCGTCTACACGGGGTATAAGGCCAGGGGTTCAGCCCCACCGTCTTCGCCCCCAGTTTTATACTTTTCTGGAATATTGAGAGGTTATCATTTTATCTATTTTTTATTTTTTTTTCAAATCTTCACCGGATATTTTTTCCATTGCTTTTTAGAGAGAATGGGAGGGAGGGAGGAGGGGAGAGAGAGAGAGACATCGCTTGGTTGCCTTCCACAGGGATCGAACCTTCAACCCAGACAGGTGCCCTTGACCAGGAATCGAACCCACAAACCTTCTGCGCTGGGGCCGCCGCTCCAACCACTGAACCACATCCTCCAGGGCCCAGTTTTATTTCATTTTTTGGAATATTGAGAGGCTGTCATTTCATCTACTTATTAATTGGTCCTAAGAACGATTTAGCTTGTGGGGGAATCTCTCTGGATATCGATTATCATCAGCTTTCTCTCCTGGTTTCAAGTCGCTTGTTAATTAGATGACCTGACAGCGAAAGACCCTGTGGCGTCCGCCGTGCGTCTCAGCTGGAGCCCCCGGGAGGCCGAGCCTGGCCTGCGCACGGNGAGCCCCCGGGAGGCCGAGCCTGGCCCGCGTGGTTCTCCTTGGGAACCTGACCCCAGGAGCGGGCCTGGAGGGCGGAAGGGCTGACCCGCCGCAGGTGCCCGGGTGAGGGGGGCGACCGAGCTGGCCGCAGGTGCAGTGGGACGGACGCACTCCACTCGGGTCTCNAGGGGGGCGACCGAGCTGGCCGCAGGTGCAGTGGGACGGGCGCACTCCACTCGGATCTCCCAGGGCTGCCCACCCGCCTGCGCCCTCCGCTGGTTAAGGAAGCCGGAGGCGCCCGTGCTGCGCTGAGGCCANCGGAGAGGAGGCGCCCGTGCTGCGCTGAGGGCGGTGGCTGCAGGGACGGGTGACGCGAAATGCCCACAAGAGGCATCCGACCCGACCAGCAACCTCGATCCAGGCTGACGGAGCTTTAATCGCCCTTCTCTTCGGGTCCAGATGAGCCGGTAATTCCCTCACTGGGCCGGGCACTCCGTATCCTACCCACCAGGCCATCGCGCAGGCTCTGCCAACCGTCTAGCTGGCACCCAGACACGCCTGGCCTGGCGTCCAGGGTGCACCTCCCGTGACTTTCATTTTCGGTCCCTTTGCGATACGTTCCGAGAGATGACCGCTTCTCTTATTTTTTTTGGTTAATAATTCATTCAAATACCGTACCTGGCCGGATGCCACCTTTCCCGCCTGCTGCCTTGGGCACCGGACCTTTCTCCACAACTGCTCCAACACCTAGGAGCCTGGCGACCTGCCCCATTATACTCAGGGGAACCTGATTCAGTGCAGGGGGCCTCCTGGGGTCGCCACCCGTCTCGGGCTTTCACTCCTTCAAATCGACACTTAGGTGCTTTGTCCGCGTTGAAGACCATTCGTCTTGAGAGGGAGCTGCAGAGGGTCAGTGCCCCCTGGTCAGCGCCTGCAGGGAGAATCCCGAGCCGCAGGCCTCGCCCTCCCCAGTGGGCCTTATCCAATCCCAACCGAGGTCACCGGCGCCCCGCGCCTGGGTCAGCCCTTCTCTGAGCTCACCCTGGACTCTGATCTCCATCTACATTTTCTCCAAAACCCTGTGCTTGCCAAACAGGCCCTTATTTGGATAGGTGCCTGTGCTCCCTTTCACTGGCACAGCAAACAATCCTATATTTAAAAAAAAATTTTTAAATGTTTTTATTGATTTTTAGAGAAAGAGAGAGGGAGGAAGGGAGAGGGACGGACAGAAACATCAATGAGAGACATCACGGACCGTCCGCCTCCTGCACGCCCCCCGCTGGGGATCAGGCCCTCAACCCAGGCACGTGCCCTGACCGGGAATCGAACTCAGGACCCTTTGGTACATGGGCCGACACTCTAACCACTGAACCACACCGGCCAGGGCCAGGTTCTTATTTTCCGAGATACAGTTCCTGGTTTCCCGCTGGGCCCTGGCAGAGACTGAACGACTGATGGGGAGATGCCAAGTGACCGTGTGGCTGGAGTCCCCGTAAATGGGGTGTGACCTGGCCCCCGAAGCCAAACGGCTGGGCACCACCACAGCCGCATGGTCAGGGGCCCGTGGTGTCAGGGACGGGCAGAGCTGGCGCAGGCCCGGGGAGGAGGGACACTGCCCCGGCAACACCTCCCGTGCCTGCGGCCGGCGTCACCTCCTGTCCTGCCCACACCCACAGCCTGGGCGGGGGGGACGCCTGTGACCCGCTGACCAGCAAGGGAACACGGGGCTTGCTGCGCAGACATTCCTCGGGGCAGGCTGGCCCCGCATTTCTCACGTATTACTCACTCCGGCTAAATTCTAAATTCAGAAGAAAATCCATTTCCTGGCCGAGGAGAAGCCGAGAGAGGGAGACCCGGGTGGCAGCAGCTGTCCCTCTCCGGCGGTGGGGAGCCGGCGGCCAGGGTGCCGGGTTCTTGGAGA